TGTGAGTTCATAATGTTGATGTGGGTCAATTTTCATGAGATTTGACTGTCAATTGGCCACAGTTGACTTTTTCCCCAATACAATTGATTTCTAGGTCAACTGTCCAATTGACTGGGCAAAATTTGGAATCAAGACTTGAAACTTGGTGTGGATAAACTTGGGAGTCCAACATGAAGCATGAAAGTCATCTTAGGCATTTTAGGTCAAAATATCTTTGTGCAAACACAAACCCTAATTTGGGTCAACAGTGCAAGGAGAAGTCTTGAGCAGAGGAAACCCTAACTGGATCTTGATTTTCAAGGGTCTTGTGATGAGAAAATGTTGAGGAAATGGGAGGGCAAATTTTGGGGTACAACAATAAGTACCCCAATAGATGTAATTCTAGTAACAGGAGAAAAGGTGTCAAAGAAATCTATATTTTCTCTTTGTCTAAAACCCTTGGCAACAAGTTGAACCTTGTATTTATCAATAGTTCCATCAAATTTTAGTTTCTTTTTCAAAACCCATTTGCAACCGATTGGTTTGTAACCAGGAGGCAAGTCTACTAAGTTCCAGGTCTTGTTAGATTCTAGAGATTCCATCTCATCATTAATAGCTTCTTGCCATAAATCAGCATCCAGAGATGACAAGGCTTCTTGAAGATTCATTGGATCTTCTTCTACATTATAAGCCAAATAATCAGGTCCATAATCTTTAGCAACTCTTACTCGTTTACTTCTTCGAAGTTTTGTTTCTACATTGTTGTTTCTTTCTGTGCTTCTTATCACATGAATGTGACTCGATTGTGTGCCCCCATTATTTCTCAACTTGAAAGGAAATTTATCTTCATAAAATTAAACATCATTTGATTATATGATTACTTTTTCCTTTAGGTCATAAGACCTATATGCTTCACTGTTTGTTGCATACCCAATGAAAACACATTCACATGCTCTACTAGCGAGTTTAATTTGTTTCGGATCCGGAATTCTGACATAAGCCAGACAGCCCCAAGTTCTTAAATAAGACAAGTTTGGTTGTCTTTCCTTTAATATCTCATAAGGTGAGATCTTACTTTTTACTTGGAAACTCGATTCAGGACATAACAAACAATCAACAAAATTCCCCCCACTAGTGAGGTGCAACACTAGAATTCAATATAATTGCAACAAGTTCAATAATAGTTCTATTCTTTCTTTCTGCTTTACCATTCATTGCAAGATAGTATGGTGCAGTCGTTTCATATACAATTCCATGTATAAAATTCATTAATAAACTAGAATCATACAGTTTCTCTATCACTATAAATTCTTATTATATCATTTTCAAATTATTTACAAGAATCTTAAACATATAAACTTCATTCTTCGTAATGGCATACAAATCTACCCCAAAGACTGACTAAACCCTGTCTTATTTAAAAGAAAACCAGAAAAAATATTCTTTCTAATCTTAGGAACATGCATAACATTCTTTAAGATTAAAGTCTTTTTGAAGGTGAAATTTAGCTCCATGTCTACAATTCCAGCAACATTCATGGTCTGGCCATCTCCCAACAACACTTTCTTATCTTTAGTATTCATGTATGTTTTAAACATAACACGATCATAACAGACACAACGAGAGATGCAAGTGTCTATCCACCAACAAACATATTCACCAACCATGTTGATTTCAATGACTATAGCAATAAATTGCCCATTAGTCAGGTTGACCTGTGCATTAGGGACAACACCAAGTTCAAGCTTACTTATACATTTCTTAGTCATATAACTTGATTTTCCATAGTTAAAACAAAGGGAAACCAACGTCATTTATTTTAGGTGGTGGTTGTTGCCTAGTTGGAGCTATTGGGATCATAGAAGGGTTCCCATTCTTAAATCGGTTTACAATATTGCGATTCTGATTCTTTAATCATTTCCCAAATGGCTTCAGAACTACATCGAATTTCTTTTTGTTGTTTGAAACAACCAAGACTTTTTCTTTTTGATATTGTCTCTAAGATTCCCTTTTTTTAACTCAAGGCGAATAATCAGATTCTCAATCAAAAATTCTTTTGTTTTGTGGCTAAGCAATTTAAAAAAAAGAAAACAATCAAACTATGGGGTAGTTTGTCAATAATAAAACCAATTTAAAATTGTTCATTTAAACACATACCTTTTGTGATGATCTTTTAAGAAATCTTTTGAAGTTCGTAACATTGAGCCTCCATCGACCTTACATCTTTACATTGGATACTTGAAGTAGCGGCTAACAACATACTTCTTTGCTCCAGCTTCCACGTTATACTTCTTTTTCTAAGTCTCTCAATCTTGTTTTGCAGTATCACATAAACTGTAATTATCATATAGATCATTTGCGAGTCTATTCAAAATATGATTTTGTAGATATTTTCATTCTCTTTTTATAAGATGATTTCTTTTCTCATCGTTCGATTTCATCTTTTCTGCTTTTTGTTTTTCGATTCTATTTTTTTCATTTCGATACCTTCATTTGCTCCTTTGAGATCTTCGTCTATATTCGATCATGTTTTTCCACAAGTTTTTTTTTGCGTTGAATCTTGCATCTGATTCAATTTGATTTGACGTTTTTCTTCTGATTTACAATTTCAATTATTATCTTTCGATTTTCTCTCCTTGTTATTACCAAATCTTAGGGTTTCAATTTTCTAAGATCAATTATATTCGATGAGTTCCTTTTTCATCTGATATATCGATCATAATATGCAATTTATCACAATTCTATTTTGTGATTCTCGCAATTCTGTTTTGCGATATCGGCGTCTCTGTTTGAGATTCAAGATTACAGGTCTGTTGGAAGTTTTCGATTTGAATCTTGCTTTTCCGATGTTTTGATTTATGATGACGACATTGACTTTTCGGTGTTGCGATTTGAAGTTTCGTTATGATTAAAGTTCAACGACTTGGACATGATTGTTCTAAGATTCGAATTTTGTGAGCCTATCGAGTATGCAATATCAATCAATTTCGTTTTGCATTCTGCAATTCGTATCTGATTCGTTTGCAACAACTGGAGCTGTTCGAATTTCTCCTTGCGCAAAATATTGAAGTTCTTTTCATATTTGGTTCATTGCAAGATGTGTATGTTGAAGCTAATGCTTCCCTGCATCTCACATTCAAGCATGAAGATACTACTTTAAGTGTGCCAAAATTTTGATGATGTTTCCTTGTTAGCTTGTGTTGTTCAGCCTTATTTTGGCTTTGTTGTAGTTTGTGTTCATGATGGTTACGGGTGATGCATTCTTTATGAATGGTTAAGCATTGATATGTTGCTTTTGTCTTGAGTGATTGAGTACTCTTGATGATTAAGCTTTGTTCCTTAATTGAATTTGTTGATGTTAATTTCTCCTTTGTGGTGGTTCAACTCTTCCTTCCTCAAAGTGTTTAAGTCTTGAAAGTGGCTTATGCTTGATGGTTAAGCGTTTGATTGTTACTTTCTCCGAGTGGTTAAACCTTGAGTTGTGGTTTTTGCTTGATGATTAAGTGTTTGTTGTCTTATTTGGCATTTGGAATTTTACTCTCAAGAATGAAGTTTCTTCTTGATTTACTTTTGGAGTGAATGTTGCGGAGACGCTAAAAGAGGATTGACGAGGCCCAAGAGTAGGTTGAAGACTTCTAAGAGCTATGCACTTCGACTACTACAAATTTGATCATTTGTTATGACTTTAATATAGTTGATGTATTTCAAAATTTCTCCTTGTATTTTTTTACTTTACTTTTATTTCTATTATTCATTTTAAACTGGAAATATTGTGTATATCTTCCTGCTTGCGAGAGGGTATTAAAAATATAGATTAATTAAATATTAGTCCCGGTGAGATAATAGTATATAAAGTTATAACCAACTCACTGGAAGAATACTTTTTTATTCATTTTGTAATATTTTGTTTTTATGAATACAAAGAGTTGAAGTTTTTCTCTCCCTCTTTCCATGGATATCATATTTCCTAAGATTAACTAATATTAGAAAAACAATTTCATTTACATTCATTAAATGTCTCGTTCAATCACATTATCTTTTATAATCAACTTCTTTGGTTTCAATTTCACCATCTTTCATAATTTAAACAAGAGAAAAAGATATTAACATTATCGCATCGTCTGATGATACCCTTCTCAAATATGTGGTTTACTTCTTTTGTATATTTATTCTTTAACTACGATACCCAACTAGAATTCTTAACATTATACTCAAGATACACATCATTGAGTACCAAAGTGTTAGTCTCCAACGTCCACTTAAGAATGAATATTAGAAATATTTTAGTGGGATACTAATTTAGAATATTCATTCATATTCTTATTGACTAAATTATGAGTACCTTGCAAAATTACTCATTTAATTTGAGGAGAAAGTAATATACAAATCATCCATTTGAACTTATCATTGCATCTCTTCCACTTTCCAGTCTCTCTATTGACCTGGCTACTTAAAACTTGCCCTACTTTTCACACAATGACGCTAATTATTCCAAACACACTCTATATGTCCATTTCATGACCCCTCTTAATTTCCTCTTTTTAAACTATAAAAAAACAGACATCATATATTTGTACATTAATAAACCGACAAATCAAACTTTATCATCTTGCTATATGTTGGAACAGAAGACCTTTCCATAAACTAATGTGCAACATTATAAAAAAGAAATATTCTAATTAGAAAGTTAGAATATATTGTCAAAAGTTTGAATACTGTGCAACATTATAAAAAAGAAATATTCTAATTAGAAAGTTAGAATATATTGTCAAAAGTTTGAATACTATAACGATAATGATAATAATAAATATAAAAACAACATAAACAACAAATATTTGTTTAATACTATCAGGGAAAGCACTAACCCGGATTTCCAGCTCCGAGACAACACCAACAACATTAAAAATAAAACATGGAACATTTTTTCTAAATAAACATTTCTATTCCTATAAATATTATACACTTTCATCAGAAACCCTTACCTTAAAAACACCACTTGTTTGAAACATCCTCAGTTCTTCATGGAAGGGTACGGGTACGGGTCGGATCACGGTCCATACGGAAGTGATAGAAGAGTCGAGATTGTGAGCGGGAAAAGCTATGGTTTCAGTCAGAGCTACTACGCGAGTCGGAGTGAGTTATCTGGCGAGATGACTCAGGCGAGTCACGGCGGAGCGGCAGCGGTGGCGAAGCCTTGGAGCTTTGGAGACGCGAAAACGAAGAGGAGAAAGAGAATAGCGAGGTATAAGGTTTATGCGGTGGAGGGTAAGGTTAAGGCGACGCTCCGGGATGGGATCCGATGGATTAAGCATACGTGTTCTCGGATTGTCCATGGGTATTGATTCGCAATTTATTCTACCCGTAACCCGGTTCATTATTAAACTTTTTTTTTCCGAATCATTTTTTTTTTTAATTTGTGGTTTTATATGGATGATAGTTTATTGTTGGGAAATACCGCGTTCATAGAAACTTATGAGATGAAAATATTATTTGAGTAATCAAATCAAATTTGTTGAGATTGTAATTTCTTGTGTCAAAACAGGTTTGTTCGACATATACATGTGTATCGAAAACAATTTAGTATGCGTATTGAAACGTCGAAGAAGTTTCTTCGATATGATTTTCTACTTAAGTTTATTTTTGTAATTTGTATTTTTATAGTTTTGAGTTTTGGCTTAGGTAGCAAGCAAACTTGCAGTTGAGTAATAAAATTTACAGATCGTGAGCAGAAGAAATTCTACAAAAAATACTTTTTTCTTCCTTTGTTCAAATCTTAACTTCTTCATCTTCCCTAATTATCTTTTCTCTTTTCTCCATTGTTAATTGTTGCACACAATCATCTTGCAACTAAGGTTGGTTGGTTCACTCTAGTGAGGAGTGAAGAACAAGGGATTTCGATCGAGTTGATTGAATCTTGTTCATCAAGATTGATTTGAAATTCTTCATAGGTTTGGTGTAATTCGCAACATCTGGTATCTAGAGCTCTAGCTGAGCGATTCAAGGCAAGCAATATCGATGTCACTGAATCATCCAAACAAACATTTTCAGGCGAGTCTTCTAATTCTGAAGAGTCAAAATTATGAAAATTGGTGCAAGCAGATGGAAGTGATTTTCTGTTATAAAGATCTTTGGAATCTTGTAAAGGAAGACTTATCACCGCTTGAAGAAGATGCAACCGATGAAGAAAAGATTGAATACAAAGAATTGAAAAAGAAAGATTATAAAGTTCTCTTTATAATTCATCAATGTGTTGATACAGACAATTTTGAGAAGCTAAGCGATGTTGAATCAACGAAAGAAGCATTAGGTATTTTAGAGAAATCATTTGGAGGCGCAGAAAATGTGAAAGAGGTGAAGTTACAAACTCACAAAAATGTATGAATTGCTTCAGATGGAAGAAAGTGAAAGCATAACTGATTTCTTCACTAGAATTACAAAATTAGTGAATCAAATCAAGGTATATGGAGAGACATTGACGTCGAGACCAATTATCGCAAAGATCTTGAGGTCAGTGACTCCTAAGTTCGACCACGTGGTAGTAGCTTTTGAAAAGTCAAAATATTTGTCAACATCGACAAAGGAAGAGCTTCAAGGATACTTGAATCTCATGAACAAAGAATGGATGAAAGAGTTGTAGGCACGTCGAATAGTGATGTGGCTATGCAGGCTCAATCAACAAGAGAAAAGAAAGGCAAAGGAAAGTGGTTCGAAAACAAAGGTAGAGAAGACTACAACAATTCGACTGTTTGAGGAAACTAGCAAGAAGAAAATGCGTCAAACCAGAGAACACCACCATACTAAAATAATCGAAGAGGAGGTGTTGCAGGTAGAGGAAGAAGTGGTGGCGAAAATCTGACAAAAGTCACATTTAATGTTTCAATTGTCAGAAGTGTGATCACTACTCTAGTGATTGTCTTGAAAAAAAGAATCAAGAAAGTGATTCAAAGTTTGTAAAACATGAAGTAGAAGAGATGATGCTGATGGTCACAACTAGAGATGAAGAGAGATTCAATGACCAATGGTACTTGGACTCGGGATGCTCATCACAGATGTCTGGAATGAAGGATTGATTTGTCAACATAAATCCCTCAATGAAGAACATGATGAAATTTGAAAATGACAATACTTTAGTAGCTGAAGGTATTGGTGATGTTCTGATTATGAAAAAAAGATGGCAAAAGGTCAATGATTTCTAATGTATTATATATACCAAGCATGAAAATTAATCTGCTAAGTATATGGCAGTTGGCCGAAAAGAACTACAAGATTTTGATCGAAGATAAAATGATGAGAGTTGTCGATGCAAATGGAAGGTTAATCTTGATGGCTCCTATGTCTCAAAATAGAACCTTCAAGATTGAACTTAATGTGATGAAGCACAAGTTCCTTGCAACTACAACTAGTAAGGATGAATGGACATGGAACTATCGACTAGGCCATGTCAACTTACATTAGAGATTTGAAAAGAAGAAATATGGTTTCAGGATTTCCAGAAATCAATATTCCAAATGAGGTGTGTGAGGAATGTGTGCAGGCAAAACAATATAAGAATAGCTTTAGCAAAGATGTAAGAAGCAAGTCGGAGGAAAATCTTGAAATCATATACTCTGATGTATGTGGTCCTATCCAGGTGGATTCAACTGGAGGTAACACATACTTTGTTACATTCATAGATGATTTTAGTAGAAAATTATGGACTTACCTGATCAAGAAGAAAAGTGAAGTGATCGAGGTATTTTCCAAATTTAAATTTATGGCCGAAAGACAAAGTGGTTGAAAGCTCAAGATTCTGAGGACTGATGGTGGTAGAGAATATGTGTCGAAAGACTTTGATATGTTATGTGAGAAAGAAAGGATTGTGCATGAGGTGGTGTCACCCTACACTCCATAGTAGAATGGAACTGTTGAAAAGAAGAATCGAACCATCATGAATATGGTGAGAAGTATGTTAAAAGGCAAGCATTTACCTAAAGAGTTTTGGGGTGAAGTTGTGTCGCAACATATATCTTGAATAAATGTCGGACAAAGAAGCTATAAGGAATTACGCCATAAGAATGTTGGTCTTGTGTCAATCTTAGCTTAAGTCATTTGAAAGTATTTGGATCTATAGCACATAGACACGTGCCAGATCAGTTGAGAAGAAAACTTGATGACAAGTCGAGTCAAATGATCCTAATAGGATATCATTCGACTGGAGGATACACGTTATTCGACCTAGTGAACAAGCAAGTAGTGATCAACATGGACGTAATCATATATGAGCTTAAGGAATGGGATTGGAGTGAAAATGTAAACAAATATTCAGTGAGGATCTTATGTGAAGAACCAACCACTGAAGTCGAAAGAGAAGAAGTTTGATATGAAGAAGTCAGAGGTGAAGTAGGCCCAAGAAGATATCAAAAGACAAGACACATGCCTGTAAGGTTACAGGAATGTGTGATTACATCAGATGATGTGTTCGATAATGAAGGTGAGTTGGTACACTATGTTTTTTATGCAGATGTTGAACCATTCAATGTTGGTGAGGCATTGAAAGACTTGAAGTGCATGAAAGCTATGAATGAGGAATTAAAGTCCATCTAAGTCAACAACACTTGGTCACTTATCGAATTGCCTCAAGGAAAGAAGGAAATTAATGTCAAGTAGGTATACAAGGTGAAGTTGAATCCCAAAGGGGGAGTAACTCGACACAAGGCTAGACTTGTGGTGAAAGGATTTCTTCAGAAAGAAGGAATAAACTTTAATGAAGTTTGTGCACTTGTGGCTAGGATCAAAATAATTAGGTTAGTTATTGGTTCAACAAAAATGAACAGTTGGCACATATGCTAGATAGATGTGAAATGTGTGTTCCTGAATGGCTCCGTAGATGAAGAATTTTTGTTGCACAACCAGTTGGGTTTGTGAAACAAGGCGAATAAAGAAAGGTATATAGGCTACATAAAGCCCATTATGGACTTAAACAAGCTTCAAGAGCTTGGAATAAGAAGATATATAGTTTCCTAAGGGAGAAGTAATTTGTAAAGTGCACAACTGAGTATGGAGTATATGTAAGAAGAAGAAGGATTGAATTGCTTATACTATGTCTCTATGTTGATAAATTGTTAATAACAGGTATTTGCAAGAAAGAGATCGAAGATTTCAAAGGTGATCTTAGCAAGGAACTCGAAATGTCTGACCTGGGCAAAATTTCATATTTCCTTGGCATTGAATTCTACAAGAGTAGTAGAGGTTTGATGATGCATCAAAGAAGATATGCAAATTAAATACTCAATAGATTTGAGATGGAAGAATGCAACTCGACTTTGACACCTTTTGAACCAATACTGCAACTGTCAAAAGATTCAGACGAAGATGATACCAACCCAGCATAATATAGAAGACTTATTGGGTCATTAAGGTACCTTTGTCACACAAGGTATGATCTAGCATACAATGTGGTTATAGTTAGTAGATTCATGCAAAAACTAAAGGTATCATATCTAGCAGCAACGAAGAAGATACTAAGGTATCTCAAAGGAACTCTCGACTATGGAACTATATTTCCTGCAATTGATGAAGGAAAAAAATTTAAGTTAGTGGATTACACCGACTCAAGTTGGTGTAGTGATACGGAGGATCGAAAATCCACAACTGGCTATGTGTTTATGCTAGGTGGTGCACTAATTTATTGGAGTTTGAGAAAAGAACTAATAGTAGCACTATCATCGTGTGAAGCAGAATACATAACTGCTTCTTTGTGTGCATGTCAAGCAATATGGATGGTGAATCTGGTCGAAGAAATAACAGGGAAGAGTCATGGAGCAATTACCATGAAGAACGACAACATGTCAACTATCAATTTGGCGAAGAATCAGATAGCACATGGTCAAAGCAAGCACATCGAAATGAAGTTCCATTATCTTCGAGAGCAAGTAGTGAAAGGGAAGTTGAACTTGAAACACTGCAGAACTCAGAATCAGATTGTGGACATCATGACAAAAGGAGTGCAGGTCAAAGTGTTTAAGAGACTAAGAGCAGTGATAAATATAAATAATTTAGACACAATGAATTAGGTGGTGTGTTGAGATTGTAATTTCTTGCGTCGAAACAGGTTTGCTTGACATATACAAGGGTGTGTCAAAAATAGCCTAGTGTGTGTGTGTGTGTCGAAATGTCGAAGGAGTTACCTCGACATGATTTTCGGCTTAGGGTTATTTTTGTATTTTGGGCTTTTATAGTTTTGGGCTTTGCCTTAGGTAGAAAGCAAACCTAAAGCTAAAAATAGAGGGAGTAACCTCTATTATTATAACACATTGAACTTGCAATTGCATAATAAAATTCACAGATTATGAGCAGAGAGAAA